TGTGTGTGTGTGTGTGTATGTGTGTGTGTTCTATATTGCACTTGATAAAGAAAGTGTGTGTATGGCAGAATACACTGTACGTCAGTAAGCCTCTGTAGTGTTGGTCTCTGGGAAAGAAGATTAGGTGAGTGATAGGTTATCTGCCGCCAGACTACTGTAATCATATTAATACTACACACACACACACGCACACACACACGCTTGCTCATCCATCGTTTTTTATCAACATAGTTTTATCCGTGCTGTCAGTAGACATACACTACAGCAGACCTAACACAATATCCACACACACACACACACACAGTTACCATCGGGTCAAACGGAGGATGAAGTCCACCACAGTTAAAATATCTCACTAGGTCAGAGAGAGAGTAACTGAAAAAATAATCTCAACTCATCGTCCACTGACTCTGGGGCTTTAAACCTCATTTCACGCTCTTTATTAGACTCGGTTCAGTTAGAGAAACGTTGACACTTTTACATTTTAGTTTTAAAATAGCCGACTTTCACTATGTTTATGAAGTTCTGTTTTAAAACTTTTGGTCCCATTTTAGTTTGAAACTCCAGGGTTGTGTTTTAGAATGGAAACGTGTTAGTGAGGAAGCTATTTATTTGGCGCAAAGTTTCTACGTCCATGCACACAGTCAGACCTCACAGCTTCAGCTTCAGTATGAAATGCAATCATTTCTTTCTCTCACCGTCTCTCTCTCAACTTTTCTTTCTATAGTCTTTGTAACGGTCACTCTGAATAAATTGCACGTGAGAGTGACCTACTCACATAGATTGAATTAATTCTGTGGGAAATGCTGCAGAGAAAGTTAAAAAAAGCAATTCATGGATCCACCAATTTGTTCTGATCTGCACCAAAGACCAACCCCCTACACAAAGTTCAATGGTAATCCAGCCAATCATTTCTGTATAATCCCACTGACTAACAAACAAACACGTGCTGATGAAAACATCCCTCACAAAAGCAAACATTCAAGTTTTACTACAAAGGGTTTGATTGTTTAATTTGTCTCTTGTTAAGTATTTACTAAACTTCTTTATGATTATTTATTCACTATTTCAAGGATAAATTCTTTACGTCCTTTATGTAAACTGGAGTTTAACATATTAAATTCGAAAAGATGAAATACTTCACATTTTGAACTTTGGGTATTAGTGTATTTTCAGTCTTTCTTCACTTCCACATTACTTCAGATTTTCAGTTGAGTTTTAGGTCACAGAGAGATTTTCAATATTACATAAAACTCAATCTTGTCCAAAATGTCAGTTAAACCACATTCACACTCACACCCTCAGTGTGCCACCCGCCTGACCTCGTACTCAACCACCAAGTGATCTCTTTAGACAGTTAACTGTCAGTCTCCACACGCACAAACACACACACACACACACAAAAGTCACATGATCAGCAGGATTATCCCTCTTGAGTTCATTCTGCATCTCAGCAATCAGTCATGGCTTAAACATGGGGAGAGAGACAGAGCAAGATACAAGGTGATATATGGCTTGCTATCAATGCTCCAGCGCTCAGTAAGCCATTATATGGAAATCTTGTGATGAGGATATATCGTGTACATGTGTGCGAGTGTGTGTGTGTGTGTGTGTGTTGTTGCAGCTGCATCCTAATTGAGATTTATAGCCTGTCGTGTTCGCAAGGGGGAAAAAAATTCACTTTCAAACCGGCTCTGTCACAGCTGCTGAGCCCGTCTGACTGCTGCATGCTGCACAACACATTTATTCCCCGGGGGGGCTCAACCTAAACTTAAACATAACCGACACGTGCCCAACTTAACCCTGACCTCCACCTGACTGTAATAAAATGAATGAAGCCACACTGGGGAGCACAGAGTTTGCCTCCAATTAGAAAAACGGTTCCCAGTCGGCTAGTTGGAAACCTCAAATTTGTCTCCAAAAGCAAACAAACGTTTCTCCTGAGCCGTGGCTCGCTGTCAGACGATAATTTCGCTCTTATTTCTGTACACATACACACACCCATGCACACACACCCTCAGTTTCTGTTCCTAGCGCTGGGATAATCATCCACGTTCTGAATTCTCATATCCTCCCACGCCAGAATCTTTCTGCTCCCGTGAGCAGAAAACCAGAGCACCCCGTCTCCTCTCTTCTCATCTCTGCCTCTTACCCTGCAGTTGTCATGAATCCTGTGTGCTTGTGTGTACAAGGGTGTGTTTGTGTGCATATGTGTGTGTTTGTGTGCATATGTGTGTTTGTCACTCAGAGGTTGCCTGCAGGCTAAGCTTTACAGGGTCTACCATTACGATTTTCTGATGACTGTGTTTGATACAGTGCCAAATGGAAACCCTGTGCGAGTGTGTGTGTCGTTGCATCTAAACCAAACTACCTGTACAGTATGTTTGCATGGAACCGTGCAGCAGCTCTATGTGCTTTTCTGCAGGTATGTGCATGGCCCTGTGTTGTGAGTTTGTGTGTGTGTGTGTGTGTGCGTGTGGTTGTGTGTATGTGAGAGTGTGTCATCACTGCTGAGTTTGTGCACAATGTGCACTGTGACAAATAGCTGATCTGTCTGGGAATGTGTGGGCGGGATTCTACTTCAAGAGTATGTCGGAGCAATTAGAGTTGGCCTCAACTACAAATACACACACACACACACACACACACACACATCTGAATTATGTGTGTAGAGTTGCAGCTGCAGGATTCCTACACTTTCTTTACATTTGGATATCTGATGCATCGGGACATTCTCTGCTCATGTCGGACGAGATCTCTTCCAGCTGTTAAATATAGAGATGGTCGACTGATGAGCATCAGGATTTATCTCCCACAGAGTTTCACAGAGTCTCCGCTCGACTTCTGCTTCTTTGCCAAGAGAAAAAATATAAAGTTGTCAAGTTTCGCTTTAAATCAGCAGAGGATTATTCTTTTAAAAATAGTATTGGTGCAGTCACAGCTAGCAGATTTGAGAAGATATGATCTATAATTAAGTTTGGGTCACTCTGGCAAACGTCCCCATCATGTCACTAAGGATCGTCACTTATCCTTATCTCATTAATGATAATAATGATGAGGGATTACATTTTTATTTTGCAAATAAATAACTTTGAGATAAAGTCTCATTTGTTATCACCCACATTCTCTGACTGAAGTCCAGAGAATGTAAAAACATTTTCCAGTTTGTCTTTCACATATGAAGAACCAACAACAGAAAAATCTCAACAGGGAGTTCAGCTAGGATTTTTAGGAGATTATCTGGAGTCCAGCACAGTTCTGAAAGCAGCTATAGACTGTCTGCAGCTTAGTTTATTGTAGTAGGTGTAAAATGGCCTGAGCAACAATGGGTACACTGTGATGATTCCTTGCCTATATGTACTTGCCTGCATTGGAGCACTACTCTAATACAAATGCAGTACATGCATCCTCACAGGAGGCCACCAGGAGACGTAAAACCACTGCAAAACTTTTTTAATTTGCACTTACACACTATTTGTAGTATTTGTATCTGTCAGGGAGGCGTCTGATTAGACTCACATTCATTCTGCAACACAACCAGAATCATGATGAAGTACTACGTTCAGGCCAGCAGAGAGTGGATCTCTACTTCATCATGGAGAGACAGACGACACTAAAGACAGAAGAACTGAGACAGGACCTCCAAAACATCTCAGAACAAACTAGCTGCTAACTAAACCTGTGAGGAGAGCTGAGCTGCCTTCAATACAAAGCTGCTCGAGAAAAACACAATGTGATTGACTTCACGTTTAGATTATTGCTTTTCCAGGTTTACTGCACCGTGTATCAGTGATGAGACAAATACTCACTTTACAGCAGTTAATTAGACTTTACCGTTTTTTTATGTAAACAACATCTCAAGTTATCACTGGTTTGCTTTCTTAGTTAGATAATATAAAACACATTACAAACACACACACACACACATATATATATATCTTATCTTATCTTATCTTAAACATTGATACCACTCTCACAGTAATACTTCACACAGAGCCAGGCTACATGTTGCCACCTGTTTCCAGTCTCTATGCTAAGCTAACTAGCTGTTTGGCAATGCTTTACATTGTGACACACACACACACATTATTTTTATAACTTTTAAACTTTCTGCTCTCACCTGTAGCTGCAGGTGAACCCTCCTCCTCCTCCTCTTCCTCCTCCTCCTCCTCCTCTTCCTCCTCCTCCTCCTCTTCCTCCTCCCCCGTCATCGTTTGACTGACCAGAAGTGAAACTACTTTCCCGGTTAAATTACAAATCTCGCGTGTTTTCAAAATCACGTCAACTGCTTTTTTTATTTTTTTATTTATTTGCACAACCAGTTTCAGTCGCAGTGAAAAGTTTCAGAGAACAAATCTAATCCCTGATTCAAACGTTAATGACCATAAGAAGCTGTAAATACTTAATGTACTGATGATTATATTTATATTTATATAATAGTTTATAATGAAAAGGTTAAGCCTGTAGTGGGAGGAGCTACAGGTTAAAAACAAGCTGCTTTATTATTTTAACTAAGATAAAATAATCCTTCATTAGACGGGATTTTATGCATTACAGCAGCAAAAAGTAAAGTTAATATGGTACATGATTAAACATATGATACGAACCGTGTAACATGATTTTTGTATGTTTTTCTGTTTTCTTTATCTCTTTTTGCTTTGCATCAAAAATGTAATAATTATTTATTTATGTCATTCATCGACCAAATAAAAACATTCAAATGCAAACACGAAATCTCAAATCTTGGGTGACAAGGAGCAGCAAGGAGCATAATCTTATATTAATCTGACCCCTTTTGTCTTAAGACATTAACAAAGAAAGCAACTAATTCAGTAAAATTTAAAAATGAAATAGCTGCAGGCCAACACAGCCCCTCACATCCCTTTAGTTCCTAAGTTACAATTCATTTTATACCATTCCAGGAAGCTCATAAAAAAATTAATTCCCCATGCATGATGTCTCTATGTCTTATTTTCAGGAGGTTCATCTCCATCTAACTTTTAGTTTTCTGTTATTTTCCCATTTTTGTTCAACACAAAGATTTATTTTTACACAGTTGTTTCATTTTCTTTGAACCAATTTAGTTACATCCGTTTTGTATTTTAACCAAACAGTTATTTCCACAGATTTGTTATACAAATTTAGAATCAGAAATAATCCGATACGTGACATCACTGAGAACTGACAACCAAAATGGTGGTCGCTCGCTCACTTATTGTCATGGTAACCAGCGGTGACGGATGAGTTTGGTGTAAGTTTAACCATCAGGTGCATTCTGTCTCTCTCTCTCTCTGCAGGAGAATCACTGCAGGAGAATAAAGATCCTCGGCGACTGTTACTACTGTGTGTCCGGACTGACCCAGCCCAAGGCGGACCACGCCCACTGCTGCGTGGAGATGGGCCTGGACATGATTGACACGATTGCGTGAGTGAAAAACACAAAACCCTCCACCTACAGTATTATCTTCGCTATGACATACATGTGTCCAGCCACATGTATGTAGAAAATTATCTATTCTTTCCAAAATAAACAGGACTTTTTAATAATTTTCTTCCTGTTTGTATTTTCAGAGATTTCAATCAATATAAACTAAACCGAAAAGGATTCACAAGAGTGTCTCTGAGTATGTAATATGTGTGCAGTTATATTAGTGCTTCATTCCTGAGCAGGCAATTTGAAATTTGGAGCACAGAAAATGTTATTTTGCTAGAACATAGGTGCCCTTGAGCAAGGCACCATACCCCCCAATTGCTCACAGGGTGCTCCTCCTGGGGCTGCCCATCACTCTACTCTACAATCTCTCTCCAATCTGCATGTCTGTGAGCCCTCTGTGTGTGTGTGTGGGAATGGGTTAAACTGCATGTATAAAAAAAATGTAAAAATGTGTATAAAAAGAATTTCCCCCTTGTGGGATTAATAAAGGAAATTAATCTTAATTTAATCTTTAATATTCTGAAAAGAGCAAAGAAAATCTATTCTGTGCACAGAATATGGATTTGTATGTTTGCCATTATCCATATTAACATTATAATTTCTCTTCAAACTATAATTATGTGCTTACAAAGCATATTTTTACATTTTAAATGACTTATTTAGAGATGAAACACAGATATAATGTTGTATCTTTACATCTTCAAGCTTTATCTCAAACTGTGAGAGAGTTGACACCATTGAACATGTGAAGTATAGATATATATATAATGCAGAGATGTTACGTTCAAACATAACAAAGCAACGCTGGAAATATCAATGTGTAGTCCATCTATCGAGAGCAGACATATTCACAATATAAAAGACACTTGGTGGCACACATGTGCAGCTCCACCCCCCCAACATGTTGACACACAGCGAGTCGTTACCTCGTGTCCTTGTGTGAGCGCTCGTCTGTCATGTTCTCTACCTGCTGCTCCGTCTGAGTGGATGGATGCCGCTGTTGGAGTCCTTTATCTCAGAGGACAGGTGCTGCCATACACACTCCTCCCTCTGTGTGTGTGTGTGTATGCAGCATCCCTCCTTCAGCCTGATGTGCACACCACATTTTCCTTTCCACATCACTGTAAACACAAACACTCTTTGTCAGATCTCTATTTCCCTCCTTGGCTCCGTCCATGATGCCGTCTGAAGTGGCTGAGCTCCTGCTGGTGACCGGCAGCATTGTGTGGTGATGTACTGGAGAGGCTTTGGAAAAGTCCTGCTGTATCTCCTGTGCACCACCACACAGCAATGTGAAGCCTGCACCAGCACATGTATACATCTACACACACACACGCACATGAATTGTTTTTATTTAGAAGATAAAGAACACGGTTGTTTTACGCTGGACTGGAACAAACTTTTGTCTTTCTACCGTGAAATGAACACGTCTGCAGCCCAGCAGTGCTGCCACCTCCAGCTGGAACAACTGTATTTGTTGTGCTCAAAATTAAAAGCTTTTCTCCCGCAAAGCTCAAAAGAGTGTCAGGCTGAGAAGAAATTTGTAACAGGCACATAGATCCAGTTCAGCAGCGCCAGAATTTCTAAGCACATGTATGTTAAGATGCAAGAAACAAAACAAAGTGGCAGCACAAGTGGAAAATTAATTAAGAAACAAAACAAAGAGTAGAAACAGAGTTTAGAATAAATAAGATAAAAAATATGAATGCTATATACAATATTATAATGTTTTATAATATTGCTAACATCAGGTTTCAAATTGGTTTCCATTGTGGAGAGCCGACATGTCCGTCTTAATTTACAGTCTATGTTTATCATGTTAGCATTTTATTTACATCCAATGGGACTGTGAAATAGAAATTTGGCCAGAGAAATAATCTGCACTCTAAACCTATGTCCTAACTTTTCAACAAGTTTTTCAGATGTGATGATGGATGTTAAGATTCCTTGGTTTAGTTTCTTTATGTGCCTTCTCCCTGCAGGTCCGTGGTGGAGGCGACTGAGGTGGATCTCAACATGCGTGTCGGTCTGCACACTGGACGCGTGCTGTGCGGCGTGCTGGGCCTCAGGAAATGGCAGTATGACGTCTGGTCAAACGATGTCACGCTGGCCAATGTGATGGAGGCCGGAGGGCTGCCGGGGTCAGTGCTGAGTGTAACACACACTGAAACTGGACTCTGAGCGGCCACAGTACAAACGCACACATTAAGACGTACAGTAACCCAGCAACGCACAGAATAAGGGTTTATTATGTGTCCGTCACATTAGTTGAAATGTATGATGTTTGCTTTTTTCCACAGTGGGAACGTAACATGTGCTTTTTAAAGATGTGCCAAATGTCCAGATCTTATATTTATTTTTAATCCTTCAGGAGACTTATTCAGGCTTATAATTTTAGTTTGGGCCATGTCTCATCTGCTAACATGGAGGAGGCAGGGTTTAAGACCTATACTGCAGCCGTCATATTGTTCGGCTTTATAAAACTGCGTTAACCTTTAAAAAGTCACCTTATCTCATGTTTTCTCTTTAAAAGATATTCGGATTAAATGATTTCACTTTGATGCAGCTTCATGAATTTCCTAAAAAAGAACTGACGCAGCAGCTGAAAAACATGCCGGAGCACTGATATTAAATTAACGCCACTTCATTCAAGAAAACCCATCGACAGTAACAAGCTGATTTGCATTTAAAAAGCAGTGAAACGAGGTCACTTCACCGGCTCAATTTGGTCTTGTTTCAAGTGAAGTAATAAGATTTTAGGACTCGTTATGAGATTAAATAAGTCGTTAGGAGGAAGATTTCTTTGCTGTGAAGAATTTTGAGCAAGCTGAGGAGTCATTAGGCCGATGAAAATAACAAGGGCGGTAATGATTTGAGACGTTAGAGGCTGACTTTCATCAATAACTACTTTTCGTTCTCTGCTCGCAGAAAGGTGCACATCACCCGGACGACCCTGGAGTGCTTGAATGGAGACTACGAGGTGGAGCCGGGCTTCGGACACGAGAGACACGCCTTTCTTCAGAAACATCACATAGAGACTTTTTTCATCGTGCCATCTCACCGACGCAAAGTACGTCACGCAGGACGATATCTTTCTTTCCCGCATCCCCTCTGTCTTTCTCTCGCACACAAGCCGAGAGGTGACACATCTGTCAGTGTTGTAATAGTTCATCCCTCTGATGCAGAGGGGGAGGCAGGCCATGTGTTAAGCTGGCGTACACATGGCTAGTGTCACTATCTCACACCAACTGTGCACGTGCACCAGAGCCGAGTGTGTCTGCTCACAGCATCACAAATTCACAGATAAATGCACAAACACAAATAAACAGTCGACGCATCCAGGTTTTCTAACAACACACACTCACAGTTTACTGTAAAAATCTCACTCGTGCCAGTTTTAATTCCAGGAAATGAGATGATTTTACAAAATGTGTAAAAATCCAATGTCTTATCTTGTGATGATATGCTCATATCAACTTAATCCCCATAAAGACTCTGTAATTCAGTTAATGTAAACATATATACAGTGAAAGATTGTTGGTAAAAGCAAGTTGGAAAACATGTGGAGTTTAAATTTGAGGGAAGTGCACAGTTTAATTGAGTGGGAGGCTTCTTCAGAGGCAGGAAGTTGTAGTTTTTAACCTTGAATGAAAGAAGGTTTTATGTGTGAGATTCAAAGACTTCTCAGATTTACAGGATAAAGGGAGATAATCTTTCCAGTATTTTCTTTGTGGCCTGTATATCTTTTCTTTTCTTTCCTGTTCATCACTTTTTTATTTTTATTTTCCAGATCTTTCCGGGTCTGATTCTGTCGGACATCAAACCAGCCAAGAGGATGAAGTTCAAGACCGTGTGCTACCTGCTGGTGCAGCTCATGCACTGTAGGAAGATGTTCAAGGCCGAGATCCCCTTCTCCAACGTCATGACCTGCGAGGACGACGATAAGGTGACGGTTGTGTATCTCTTTATGCTGCTGCACCACAACTGTACTGAGCAGATATGAGTATTTGTGGGTTACATAGTCGGAATAAAAAATCCTTCCTAATGGGTTGGTACGTCCATTTTTGATGGAGTGAAATCCTGCTTGGATTCTTAATCTTCTGCTACACACACGCACGAACACATTCAATCACAAACACACAAACAGTAATCTGGATTTCTAGATCTGGCAGCATCATAAGCACTACAGTATGCCTGCATTACAACTACTTGTTGAAAAGTAAGCCAGTGGAATAGATATTATGAGCAACTTCATGTAAACTCGCTGCTCTGAAGCTCCCAGTGTGTGTCCCTGTGTGTTTGTGTAACGTTGTGTGGATGTGTGTGTGCGGCACACGTGATGTTTGACTGTGATTTGCGATTCATTTTTGTGAGTATGTTTACCGGTGAGCTGCTGTGACGCAGCCGCGAGAGAGTCACGGTGCAGCGGGTTCGTCCCTCGGCCAGTCGCTGTTGAAGCTGTCAGAAATAGCGTAGTGGCTGTAATCCGCCCAACTGAGTGAGCTGGGCCGGGCATTAGTACTTCATGATTCTGATGAGGTTGCATTATGACTGCTGGTAATCACCCACAGCCTGGTATCATCTCCTCTAATAGCATTAGCCACATTGTTACATGATTATAGTCAAAATCCTAGCATTGTGACACAGAGGAATTTTTATAATAGAATTTTGACACTGAAAAAAGTTTGGGCCCCAGAAATATCGAATCATCCGCATCCAGCAGCACGTTTCCGATTTATTTTCCTCATGAAAAGATCTATGAACATTTTTCTCATTTTTTAGAAATAGCCTGGACATCAGCAAACATTCAACTTCCCGACATTACTTCTTTCAAATCTTCAACATGACTGTGATCGTCAAAGAACACAAATCTCACATTTATGCAGTAAATAAATGGAGCAGTCTTTATAATCTGCCTTAAACTGAACTCAACACAATAAATCATTTGAGCATGATAACATGTTCAAATTATAAATGTCACACTACTAATATCAGGATGTTAACATTCACTACTTATAGACATGCTAACAGTAACATGTCAACAGTATGTATTATTCCATTTAAGGAGGCGATATGTACGTTTTTTCTAACAGTACCTTACTAACGTTATTATCGACAGGTGTTTACTCATCAATCCAGCAGAAACCTTGCAAGTTCAGAATCAAACCTGTGACAGGACCGTTTTGCCTCTGTTGCTTTTCCCTCTTTGTTTCTACTGGAGCTAGCACGCTAACCACCTTCCTCTTTTATGCCCCGTTCCATTACAGCTCGGAGCTCGGCCCACGGGATAAAACTCGAGTAACCCGAGTTGATAGCAATGTTTACATTAGCCAGCTACCCACTGTTAGCAAAACCAGTTCATAATAATGCATTACTGCATTTCGCTACTCCATAGTAAAATGTCCACAGACAGTAATTGGACAGTATTATGTGTAGGACCCTACTACAGCTGTCACTACTGTTGATACACGGAGGAGCCATCTTGGATTTCCTAGTCAGGGTCGGTGAGGTTCCAGTGCTAATTCAACTCCCAGTGTCGTCAGTCTTTCTCTGACTCCAGACACAGTTAAACTCGGAGAGTACGGGTGTGATTAAAAACATGAATCAATGCTGCGTTACATTTCATCTCAGGCCTCTGGTCGTGTAAACGCTCACTGGCTTTACGGGGCACTTTAACAGAACAGAACCATCTTTAAATATATTAATTACACCTGCACTTTTGCTAAGACAGGTCTCTGAGGTCGGCTGTGAGAAGACGGTTAATAATAAAGCGGATGATGTTGGGTCTGGGAAGCAAAGCTGGAGATTAAACCTCAAATGTATAATTTAAAAGCTCAGAATCTTCCAGACATGTATTTCCCTTCTACAATTAGTCAAAACAAACCCTCATTATTATTTTTTGGCTCATCAACCAAGCATTTTAAATGATCCCAGAGTTTTGTCTAAAGGGCCTTTTTGGAGACAGTGCCCATAGTATCTGACTGTTTGGTTTTCTCGTGTTTAATTATCATTACAGCCTCACAAAGCCAGGAGATGGTGGTTGTAAACTTTTCTTGTTTCTGCTGATGTTGATAAAGTTCTAAAAGTATCCTGAAACCTCAGCTGACTCCACACTCTGTATGCCACACTGCATTTGTCAGCTCGGACATGTCGGACAGGCCGGCCTCCGAGGAGACTGATTGTGTTGCCTCTTTGTGTGTCTGACAGCGGAGGGCCCTGCGGACTGCGTCAGAGAAGCTGAGGAACCGGACGTCCTTCTCAGCCACCGCTGTGCAGCACTCGCCGGGAACACGAGTCAACCGCTACATTGGGCGGCTCATTGAGGCGCGGCAGACCGAGTCAGAGACAACGGACCTCAACTACATCACCCTGTTCTACAGGAGCCGAGACAGGGAGCGTAGAGTGAGGCCGGACACACACACACAAACACACACACACACACACACACTCACACAAACACACACATCTGCACAGAGACCTGCAACTTGGATTCATGTTTACAAAATGAAACAAAATAGAGCAATTACAGTTTCCTCATTACACACAAGGTTACATGCCTCGTGTTTTCCCCTGAATCTTATTATCTCACACACACACTCCCCACACAGTCTCTGATTCCCTTTATTCCCCTCTCTCCTACGCCTGTTGTCTATGATGTGTGTGTGTGTGTGTGTGTGTGTGTGTGTGTGTGTGTGTGTATGTGTGTGTGTGAGGATTCCACCCACCCTCTCAGGAGGGGGTGCAGATAATGATTCGGGAACGTCTGAGTGGCACACGTGATATCTTCCTCCTGTGTGTGTGCGTGGGTAGAGTCATAAAGGAGACAGAGAACAAGGGTGCATGTGTGTGTGCCTGTGTGTGTGTGTGTGTGTGTGTGTGTGTAGCTGAAGAAGTAAAACCGTACACAAAGCAATAACTAGTTAAATTGGTGTAATTTCTAAACATAATTTAAATTATTCTGACCAATGAGGATAAAGTGAATTAGTCCAAAGATGTTATTTACTCCCACTCGACTACAATGACAGATTTCTCTCATACGATGCTGGTAGAGTTCATGACATCAAATCTTTAGAAGTGTATTCATGAGAAAAAGCAAAGTATTGTGAAATATATCCAGCTTCTCAGGGAGGAAAGATCTAGATGAAAAACTCTCTGATCTCTTGTAGAAATTAAAAAAGAAGAAACAAGCCCGGAGCACATTTCGTTATAATATGAGGTTCAATATCTTGCGCCACATTCGACGTGGAGGAGCCAGAGGGGAATCAAACCACCAACCCTCTGATCTGCTCTGTATTGCATCCAGCACTGAACATAAGGCCTTACACACTTGTGCATCCGGTGTTTATTAAGCAGGGTCATGATTCCCCTCGTTTAAATCACGATGGAAACATGTGGATGAATTGAAACATAAACGTTTCTAACAGTTGCATTCTCTCTCAGTATCACCAGGTGTATGACGACCATTTCATCAGTGCTGTGGTTCTCTCTCTAATCCTTGCTGCTCTGTTTGGCCTCATCTATCTGCTAATGATTCCACAGTAAGTGCACACACACACACACACACACACACACACACACACACACACACACACACACACACACACACACACACACACACATAGTTTTCCACATTTGCAGTTTGTCCATTCGTGTAGCATAATTGGATCGCTCTTGCTGGGGTGTAGTGACACAATTAGAGAGGAAGGTGATTTCACTGCAGTCAGTGGAAAACCGGGGAAACCCATCTCACTCCGATCTCACCTCCCCTTCTCCTCCTCTCCCTTGCCTCTCCTCCTCCTCTCCCTTGTCTCTCCTCTCTCAGGGGGATGCTGGTGCTGCTGCTGTTGGTGCTGTGTGTGTGTTTCCATGTGGCCTGTGTCATGTATCTGCATCTCACCAGTGTTCAGGTAGGACTTCCAGACCTGCTCCTGCAGACCCGTCTCCTTTTGTATAGAGTTTATGCACCAATTCCCCTTTTTAGCAATATTACTACTTGTTACACCACTTCAAAACAAAACCCCTGCTCCCACTCTTTATGCTAAGCTAAGCTAATTACCTGCTGACTCAAGCTTCATCTCCTGCACACAGGCTTTAAAAGATCTCAATAAAGGAAATATAAGGTGCAGTCTGCAAAACTGTGGGCTTATTATAATTATTACCGACATGTATACTGGTCCATTTAAACACAGTTTAGACGAAAGGTTTTTGCACAGGTCTGGTGAGCAGGACTTTATTTCTGTTTCTACCTGTGGACCCTCTTTATGACACCTTGGTGTTATCACGCTACATTGAACTGTCATCCTTTAAGCACCTCCTCTAATTGGCACGCACACAATGAGCCCCACCACAGAATGCTCCCGTTTCATTTCCACTCCTGACTAATGATGTGTCCAAAATGCTATTGAGGTGGATAAACAGGTGCTTCATTTACTGACTCCTTCTATTCACCAACCTCTTCCTCCTTCGACTCCCCGATCTCCCGTCCTCCTCTTCCCTCTGGTTTTAGTGCCAACCAAGCTGCCTCACCATCCAGATCCGATCGGTGCTGTGCGTGTTCCTCGTTCTGCTCACCTACTCTGTCACCCAGGCCTGTGTGGTAAGTCTCTGTGTTCACACCAGTCAGTATGTTTCTTACACACATGTTTTATAGATGTTTAAAGTTTATTTGTGAAGCACATTACCACTTGAAACCTGCTCAAAGTTCTTTACAGTGTAACAATGTTAGGGATGCACCCATCTGACTTATATATGCAGAATACTGATGTGACACCAGTGTTCAGTTAAACTCAGCATCTTCATCATAGGAAACTGGGATCAATCCTTTATGTGAAAGGCCACATCAGACTTGAACGTGAATAAAGACGGACGACATGGCAGCTTCCGAAAATGAAGTCAAAGTGTCTGGATGGGTCTTAATTAGCAGATGGGACATGAGCCAATCTAAAATGACATTAAATCATTTTTTCGCAAAGATGGTTTCTGTCATTTTAGGGCGTTCTTATCACACTGATGTTTGATCATGTTTCTGATAAGTTTGGTTTTAATTATTTGATGAGATAAAAACGGGCTGAGACGTCATGATTAGCTGCTGATGGTTTGATAGCGCAGCTCCATTCTCCTCCTGCACAGACTTCATATAATGTCACACGCAAGATGGCAGGGATTTCTGAACAGAGCGAGGAAGTGGAGATACGTCCTCCATCTTCATTTACAGTCTATTATCAAAATGTGACAAATAAACACATGTATATTGATTTATTGAATTGTTATTGAAAACATTAGGAATCAGGCATCATCTTCAAAACTTGAATTTAAATTATGCAAATGTAAAATAACAGTCGTTATCTGTCCAATATCCAACAACAGAATCAGGGAACACATATTAATATTATGAATAAAAATCTTTAATACTATTATTTTCATAATTGTGAGCAATTTTTCATTAGAGTTGCAAAACATGTAAATACTATACAACCTATTTAATTATTAAGAGCATATTACAGTAAGTATACTCAGTCTCTGTGTAAAAGTCATGATTATAAAAGGACCGGTTGTGTAATGTAGAAAAAAGCACATGAGTTAGATGAGTTGTCATCTTTTCATTGTTCATCCAGCAGAGTTGAGTGTTTACACGTCTCTGCAGAACACGGAGTTGGCAGAATAAGACATGGCAGCCGAGCAGATGGTGCTGCAGGCTCTCAGAAGAATACAAACATTAATTGTTCAAGAGTAAAATGCTCAATAAAATATTTTAAACGTAAAGTAGCTGGTGTCAACACAGTAGTGCACAGTCGGTGTATGTTTGTGTGTTTACCTGGACACACAAACATAACAGCATAAAACATTTACTTGGACTTGAGGATGGATCCACATTTTTTGGGTCAAAGGTCAACGTCACATTTCAAACCCTTCATTAAATTACTTCAAACTCTTCACTACACGTGTTACATGGAAATACATGGATTCAACTGGTTGGCGGCACAGATTAAAATCTGCCTTTCCAATAATGCTTCATATCATTTAAACTTATTGCATTGTTATGTCACAACATCCTGCAGGTGGGATGTGTTCCTTGGGGGAAAGCGGCGGTGACGAACTCCAGCCGCTCTGTGGACGCTGTCCCTGCAGACACGAGCGGCGTCGGACTCTCCAACATCACGGCGGCGGAAAGTGCTTGCTCCAACATGGCCTATGCCCTTCTGTCCTGCGTGGCCGGCACCCTCACTGTCGTGCCCTACCTCCGCGTGTCCTCGCTCCCCAAGATCCTCCTGCTCCTCCTCCTCTCTGTCACCTACACCGTAGTCATGGAGACCAGCGGCTACCGCCAAGCTGTGGGGTGAGAGTGAGCTGCATGTGATGTGTGGTCTGATACGCCAAAGATGTGTGAGGGTTGTTTATGTGAAATTGTCTAATTTCTTTAAATATCTTGTTTTGTCTTAGTCCAGAATCCAAAGCTAAGAAAAACAAAACTTTAACTTTTAAAAGGACAGAAGCAGGATAATTGTTTATGCGTTTCCAGGCAAAACAAATTTGTCTTTTTGTGTCTTTCTTTTGTGTCTTGACAAAACAATCAGTTAACAATCAATCACAAACACAAATCTCCACTCGTGTATCTTTCAGTGGTGGTTTCCTCCACACGCGAGGCTACGACCCCGTGTTGGCGGTCGTGTTGATTTCTGGAGCTCTGGCTCTTCATTCCAGACAACTGGACCTGAAGCTGCGGCTCGATTATCTCTGGGCCACTCAGGTAAGTGCTTTTTTTGTCGAACCTGTTGCCGCTGATGTTTAATTCTTGTGCAATTCAAAAAATCCTCTCAACAGGTCATTTAGTTGACATAAACGTTATTTGTGGGGTTGTTGGTTCGATCCTCGTATCAACATATCCTTGAGCTTCAAAGAGCTGACGAAAGCTTGTAAGTGAAAGTAACATGATGTATTCTGAGGCGTCAGGAGCTCAGCCGGTTGGGCAGTTTGTTTGCAGGGATGATGGTTCAATTCCCCACTACTCTTGTCTGTGCGTCCTTGAGCAAGATACTGACCCTGTGTGTGTGTGTGTGTGTAGGTAAAAATGAATTAATAGATTTAAATCAGAGAAAGATACACGCTTCAGTTATAATATTTCACTGACTTTAATTTCAAATTTAGCTCTTAAACATCAAATTGTCGTCGGCTTTAGAATCCAAATATCATTAAGGCTCAAGGATATGTGTGTGTGTGTCTGTGTGTTTACATGCCAGACGTGAACAGTCATAAAGTTTCTATTTTTAGAATCAACAGAGCCTTTGTGTTGTTTGCAAATCATTATCACCCTCTAGTGATAAGGTCGAGCAATTACATCCTGTGGTCGTGCTGCAGCAGAGGTTTATTGTGTTTAGACAACAGAGGATGGGTGTGATGTATGTGTCATGTATGTGTCATGTCTGCACGTTCATGTAAAGACTCGTCTCCTCCTGTGTGATCTGTGCTGGTGTACAGGCGGAGGAGGAGAGGGACGACATGGAGAAGGTGAAGCTGGATAACAAGAGGATCCTGTTCAACCTGCTGCCGGCTCATGTGGCTCAGCACTTCCTCATGTCCAACCCCAGGAACATGGTGAGAATCCGCAGTCGTGTCCGGGCTCGCCCGCCAGGGAGCTGATGCCTCTGACAACATCTCCACAGCTTCCTGAGACATTTGTAGGTCAGAGGGTGTCAGACACTCAGGTTGTAACTGAAACATCTTCAGGTCACTGATTCCCACACTTCTTTTAAAGACACTGACATTTCCATTAGTTGAGACATGAAATAATAATAAATAGTATTTAGGAAGACATGCAGCAAAGGGCCTGGTTGCAGCTGCAGGAGGACTCAAGCCTCCGTATATGAGGCCTAGACCAACTCACCTGAACGTTACTTTACAACCGAAAGTAGAGAAAAGTGCAGCAACAGTATTTGGATGTGCGTATTTGAGTGTATTCAG